CCCCAAAACCCCAAAACCCCAAAACCCCGAGTTGCTTGAATTGATCAAATATCTAGAATAATCTAAAAAGTGAGTATTCGTATAATCGTTAGCATTAATATAAATAGATCAGAAATCAAGCAATAGAGTGCCAAATAGATTATAATAAAATCTAAAAAGAGTATGAATTAATCGAATTAGAGTCAATACCCGATGTAAAGGTAGTAGTCTTATTTTAACAGCTACACCAATGATGAGGACTGTGATCTTCATTCATTCAGTATGGATGATAGAGATCATGACAGACACAGATTTAATATGAATCTAGAAAATGAACCACTCTGGGACAAGCAAGATCAGGATGAATTCGATCTTGCAGCTATATAATCACCTCATCAGTAGGAGATTAATCAAAATCAAAACATTTGCTATTGCTTCATGTGCCCCAATAGTTAACATCACAATCACGAAGGATACCTGGACGATGATGATAGAACTTACTTTGACCCTAGAGAGCCATCTACAGAGTTTTAAGACTACTTCGGTGAACTCTCTGATGAACCACAAGAGGATGATTGCAATTGCGGTTGTGGCAGAGATTAAGACATGGAAGTTGATCATGGGTTAGACTCAACTTTCCATACATTCTTAGGTGAAAAGGAATTAAACTCTCAGACTTTGACTCAACTAGAAGTTGATTAAATGATGGAAGGCTACGATATATTTAATGAAGATTCACTATGCCTTAATACTTATGCTCAATTACAGGATCTTTCTGAGACTTCCTCAATAGCTGATAGTATTTTCAAAAACGAATCTAAGATACGTGTAAAATTCAAAAACTAAGGCTACCTCAGTAAATAATATCTTGAATTTCATAATCAAAATGCCAGCAACAGGAGACTAAGCTTTAACTATAATAATAGTACTCTCTTAGAAGAGGAAAAATTGTTGTTCAATAACTGCTTCAACGAATTTTAAAATGGAGAGTTCATTTATGATCACAATGATCCAGAGGGGTAAATCACCAATTTGGGATTCGGAAGTCGAAGAATTATAGAAGTCAACCCTTACGAGATGAGTAGGGATGAAATCAGACAAAGATAGAGCCAAATGGTACTTATTGAATAGCAAAATCTATGAATCACTAAACAAGCAGAAATAGATCACCAGGCCCAAGTCATTGGCTAAACCCTGAGGTATAGAGACTTATAATAGTTTGAGGAAGAGAAGATTCCCAAGCCAGTCTTTGAAGCTCGAAACCCGACATAGGAATATTTTGAGCAATTGGACTAAGCTTTAATAGCTAATTCAAATGCACCTCCGACAAATTCTCATGCCTAAAATGACAAATATTACAAGAAGTTCGACTTCTTCTACAAGAGAACCTGCTTCAGACTCATGAGTGAGTACTTCAAGCACCTGTTCTCCCCCTATTAGAAAATTTGGGTTGACCTCAGAAAAAAGACCTCAATTCAGAAATTATTAGTAAACTTTGCTAATGAATACTTTGGAGAGTTCCTTGAAAGCGTTCCCTCCGGATTCAGACAAGAATTCTTAGCCTAACTCACAGGCTTGGTGCATTCTCACAGACACAACAAGAAGGAGGAGCAATTCATCGTTGAGAAGCCCATTGATTTCGACATTATCAGAGATACTATGTATAAGTACAGCAAGAAAGCTCAGGAGAAGTTCTTCAACATCCCTATTCTATGCTATTTCTTCATCTGGTTTGCTCAAAGTGAAGATGGTCTCTTGTTTACTGAGGAAAAGTTTGCAGATAAAGGACCAGAGTACATCGAAAGAATGAGACAAGAACTAGATGAACTTAAAATCGAAGCCATCAAAAGTCTTCAGAAGAAAAATAACAACTAATGCACAATGCTTATCCAGAATCTAAAACTATGAATTATCAAAATAATCTTGATACAAGAGATATTCACTTTTAATAATTGTACACTCATAAAAATTAATTAAAATTTATTTCTTAGGGGTTTTGGGGTTTTGGGGTTTTGGGG